GACAGTCATACAGGTCAGCTTATGAGTTCTGGGTGGTGTGGGAGGTGCACAGCCCGCAGCTTTGTGCAGCCTAAGCAAGCATTCTCCTACTGCGGCACTGCTCCAGCTCCTGGGTTTCTGATATATGAACCTACTGTGTAGCCCAGGCTAGTCATGAATTTGCTCTGTAGGCCTGATGGGTATTGAACTTGCTATCCTCCTGCCTCAGCAGCCTGACTGCTGGGATTATGCCTAGGCACAAATAATTTTTAATTGAGAAACAATTTATTTTTTTATGTTCATATATTAAATATTTTTTAGCATTTATTTATTAAAGATTTCTGCCTCCTCCCCGCCACCACCTCCCATTTCCCTCCCCCTCCTCTGATCAAATCCCCCTCCCTCGTCAGCCCAAAGAGCAATCAGGGTTCCCTGCCCTGTGGGAAGTCCAAGGACCACCCACCTCCATCCAGGTCTAGTAAGGTGAGCATCCAAACTGCCTAGGCTCAAACGAAGCAAGTACGTGCAGTAGGATCAAAAACCCAGTGCCATTGTTCTTGAGTTCTCAGTAGTCCTCATTGTCTGCTATGTTCAGTGAGTCCGGTTTTATCCCATGCTTTTTCAGACCTGGGCCAGCTGGCCTTGGTGCATTCCCGATAGAACATCCTCATTGTCTCAGTGTGTGGGTGCACCCCTCCCGGTCCTGACTTCCTTGCTCGTGTTCTCTCTCCTTCTGCTCCTGATTTGGACCATGATATTTCAGTCTGGTGCTCCATTGTGGGTCTCTGTCTCTGTCTCCTCTCATCGCCTGATGAAGGTTAATATTCAGGAGAATGCTTATATGTTTTTCTTTGGGTTCACCTTCTTATTTAGCTTCTCTAGGATCACGAATTATAGGCTCAATGTCCTTTATTTATGGCTAGAAACCAAATATGAGTGAGTACATCCCATGTTCCTCTTTTTGGGTCTGGCTTACCTCACTCAGGATAGTGTTTTCTATTTCCGTCCATTTGTATGCAAAATTCAAGAAGTCCTTGTTTTTTACTGCTGAGTAGTACTCTAATGTGTATATATTCCATACTTTCTTCATCCATTCTTCCATTGAAGGGCATCTCAGTTGTTTCCAGGTTTATATCATCATGTAAATTTAATGAAATTATGTATGAAAAACTAGCCTTCATAATGAAAATGTACTCAGTGGACAAACATGCCCTCCTCAGAGCCCATCTTTTAAAATAAATTTTCTATCCAGGTTGTTAGCAGCTGTGAGATTTTGAGCATATGCATTTACGAGTTTGGGTTTCTTCTATGCAGTGAAACGTTAGTAACACCTTATGGGGTTATAATGATTAAATGATATCACGCTAGGTTTAGCCCATTTCTTACCCAAAGTCACATTAAAGATTTATTGTATGTGTGTGGGTCTTCTGTCTGCATGGATCTAAGTGTCATATACATGCAGTGCCTGAGGAAACCCGAAGAGGGCATTGGTTCCCCTGAAAGTGAAGACACAGACAAGTTTCCAGCTATCAGGTGGGCACCAGGAACCAAACCCTGGGTCCTCTGCAAGAGCAGAAACTGTGGAGCCATCTCCACAGCCCCAGAAAAAGTCACTTTGAAAGGAATATACAACAAGCATGGCACCCATTGACCCTTTTCACTCCAAGTAGCCTGAGTAGCACAAACATAGAGTCACCCAGGGATGGCCCTCTGCACGTGAGAAGTGCCCTCAACATTCACACTCTTCTCAGGGACTCACACTGGGCTGTCTCCTCACAGTTAGCTTCCTCCACACTCCAAAGGCGCTTTCCAATCTGCTCTTGAATCTTCTCTCATCTCCCTTCCTTCCTTCCTGGTTCCAAATCTGCCCTGCCCTCCCCACTCCTTAGCTCTCAGCTTCTTAAAATATATCACACGAGGCCCACAGGCATCTCTCAGCCCTTTCCATCTCCATCACCAAGGTGCAGACCATTAGCCCACTTTCAGCTGGGAGAGATCAAAGCCTGTGACTTCTCCCAGCTCTGTCTCCTTCCCCATGAACTTCATGTCTGTTCTAATGGAGAGAGGCAGTCCCTGTGATTATCTTCCTTGTTGGGACCAGCCAAAGAAAAGGAAGAAGCAAGGCTGTATACCCTGCTTCCTTTCAGTGAAGTCGGGAAGAGGAGAAGACTGGGATGTTAAAATGAAATTACAAGCCGGGCGGTGGTGGCACATGCCTTTAATCCCAGCACTTGGGAGGCAGAGGCAGGCGGACCTCTGTGAGTTCGAGACCAGCCTGGTTTGCAAGAGCTAGTTCCAGGGCAGGCTCCAAACCCACATAGAAACCCTGTCTGGAAAAACCAAAAAAAAAAAAATGAAATTACAAACAGCCTTTTCACATTTACAGCTTTGACACGCCCTCGGAGGCTCTTCCTTCTCAGGACATAACATGCTTTTTTGGATCTGAAGATACAGTAAAGGACATAAAAGGTGAAATTGCTTTTATATTTCGGGGTATTTTCTTGAAAGATGTGTTGGAGGGTTCTCGGCATATGTCAGCTAACATTCACTGAAACGCATAGAAAATCAGCCTAAGATTTCCTGTGTGTGAACAAAGAGATGCTGGTCTCTTGTAAAATTTAAGATACGGGTCACACCACTGAATTCTGGCAGCTCTTAAAGAAACAAAAAACACGGGATACACAGAACCTGAGACCCTGGAGGTAACTCTATCACTGAGTGTCAGCTTTTAGTGAAATAGTACCTGGAAGTATGTCTTCTGCTGTCATTGGCTGATGCCATTGGTTACTAAATACAATGCTGTATATTCCTTAGGTTGGGAAGACATAACCAGCGGGAAGGTTGACAGCCACATGCTGCCAGGTGACCACTTTTATCTGTTGGGACCTAACAACGAGAACTTCATCAAGAACTATATAACCAAGTGTTTGGAAGTGTCGTTACTTGCTTGCTTTTAGATGGGCCTTCAATATGCAAACCAATCACAAGCTGTCCCTCTAGCTCCTGAAATGGAGCACTTTAGTGTCCAGAGATTGGAAGGTGCACATTGATGGATTTCTTCATGGAGCATCTCTCTATCTTGGGAAATGGCTAATGCTAAGGGTCAGGAAGCTGAGGAGCTGCTGTAGCTGACAGCTGCAGAAGGAAGGGGCTGCTTTTCTTTGGGGGATGTGGCCAGTAGTCGGTTACTCCTGCTCCATGTGTACCCACTGGTTGGTTACTTATGCTCCCTGTGCTCCCACTGGTCGATTATTCATGCTCCGTGTGCACCCACTGGTCAGTTACTCATGCTCCCTGTGCACCCACTGGTCAATTACTCATGCTTCCTGTGCAACCACTGGTCGGTTACTCATGCTTCCTGTGCAACCACTGGTCGGTTACTCATGCTCCCTGTGCACCCACTGGTCGGTTACTCATGCTCCCTGGGCACCCACTGGTGGGTTACTCATGCTCCCTGGGAACCCACTGGTCGGTTACTCATGCTCTGGGTGCACCCACTGGTCGGTTACTCATGCTCCCTGGGCACCCACTGGTCGGTTACTCATGCTCCGTGTTCTCCCACTGGTCAATTACTCATGCTCCCTGTGCACCCACTGATCGGTTACTCATGCTCCGTGTTCTCCCACTGGTGGGTTACTCATGCTCCCTGGGAACCCACTGGTCGGTGACTCATGCTCCGTGTTCTCCCACTGGTCGGTTACTCATGCTCCGTGTGCTCCCTGGTGGCACAGCAGGCAGCTCGAATTGGACTCAGTGCGCTGTTTACAAAGAAGATGAGAAGAGCGGCACAGAATTGGGAGGGGTACACATTGAAGGACATCCGTGGGGGGCGGGTTGGAAAGGCCAGTGACGGGTGGATATGATCAAAACACATGTATGCATTTAGGCAAAGTTCAAAGGATAAATAAAAATATTGTTAGAGGAAGAAAACTTCTGCTAGTGTCCTTTATCCTTTAATTAAAATCTAATTTGATTGACTTTTATATAAAGTTTTATCAACAAAGTGTCTTCAGTTCAGGTGGGGTTACACCTGAAGCCTCTTGCATTATTCTAGGGGCAAGAGTGATGGACAGAAGGTATTGATCATTTCTCCATCACCACACTGTGACTCAAGTTGTAATGTAGTCTATAGAATCTATAGAAATATACACTAGACCTACTGCATAAGAAAGAGCTTTTTAAGAAAATACAATACTAAACAATTACTGTCCATCGTGATAGGAAGACCTCGGGGTGCTTACAACCCAGCTGTCCTGTGTTCCTGCTGCCCCGGCAGTGATTGGCGGGCACTCAGAGCCCTTCCATGGGCAGCCAAACCACAGCCTGGTTAGGTCACTTGTCCATATCATATAGGAAGCCAGGAAGTGGCCAGGAGGCAAATCCACCCATCACTCCAGAGTGCCCACATTCATGGAGCCCGCAGTACACGGTGCAGCAAAGGAACTGAACTGTTCTGTTTCTCCAACCTACTCACCTTCTCCTTCAGTATTAGGCTTTCCAGTTTTGACACAGGGTCTCATGTAGTTAGGTTGTTCTTAACCCATGACTCTCCTGGTTCCACTTCCTGAAGCATCCAGAATAGTCTGCCTGCTATTCATTCTGAGCAAACTTTTCTTTTTGCCCAGTAGCACTAACTCATCGTATATGAACAGATTAAGTCAAGAAAACAAACACTGAGGCTGGGAGATGGTTCAGTCACTAAAGTGCTTGCCTTATAAACATGAGGACCTGAGTTCAAGCCCCAGATCGCCAATCATGATGGAACACATTGTAACCCCAGTCCTGGGGAGGCAGAGGGAAGAGGATATCTGGGGCAGTCAGTCGAGCATACTTGTTGAGCTCCAAGCAAGGAGAGACCCTGCCTCACAGGAAGCAAATAACATATCTTAGAATAACAGCCAAGGTGATTCTCTGGACTCCACATGCGCGCATACATGATGTGTAACACACACATATGAACACCCATACACAGACTTAAACGCAAAAAGGAAACAGATATTTATTTAAGTTTATATGCAGACTACAAAATGACTTTTTAAAGTCACCTTTCACAAGCAAGTAAAATTAGGTAATTATGTTGACATAGTCCAAAGTATTAGAATGCATGCTATTAGGAAAATACACAAGATTTATACAGTTGTCAATGCATTTCCCCCTACACACCATGTGGCTATTATGAAAGCTTTCAAAGGAGATCTGTCTCCCCTGTCAAGTTCTAAATTCCGTATTTCTCGATCAGCTCTCTTGCTTTAGAAATATAGGCACTCATGGCATCTTCCTTCGACAAACCTAGAGAGATAAAAACACGTTATCTAACTGACTTGTGTAAGTCGAGATTAAGAAGGGTTTTTTTTTATCTTATTTAAGAGTTAAAAACCTTTTTGGAGGCTCCATGCTTCCCACTTGGCCTTGCCCTTCATATCTAACATTACTGGACATGCTGTCAAGAGGCGGAGAGAGTTGCAATGTTACTTTTCACTGTACACTTCTACAGACACTCAAGCAAGCCCATCTATTTGTCTAAAACAAGCACCAGGTACCACCAATGTTGATATCTCCGAGGATGGACTGTTTGTACAGCCCGTAGAGTTCTTTGAGTTCTTCATCTTCCGGTCTTCTTTTCAGCTTCCTCACGTCTTGTGCGGCCTGCTCAAAATTAGCCTAAGACAAAAGACAACAAGAACACAAAACGTGCATATGTGGTGTGTATACACACCTGCAAGTAAGACATGCACATGAAATCTAATTGTTTTATTGTAAGTCTCATGCCAACTGTCTTCCAGTAAAGCTGTTTAGCTTACATTGGTTTGAGTGGCAAATGTGTCTTATCACGAGGAAAAATTTGTTTTGCAATATCTCCCTCTCCTCCCCTCTCTGCTCTCCTCCCTCCCTCTATAACAAATGCTGAAGAGCAATCACTTTAGAAAGAAAAAAGTTGGTTAGCAGTCATTGGTGTGAGCACAGAGCCGGACTATAGCTACCGGGAAACACATCTGGAGGAGCCTGCCTCAGAGGCTGGTGCTTGCAGTGACTCCTGGGAAAGGGTGCACAGGAATCCAGTGAGAAGACAAGAGCTGGCAAAGGCAGTCCTGACCATCCAGACAGAATTCACCAGGGTCGAACATAAAGGGTGGGCCGAATCACATCAGTTTGTTCCCCTGATCATCCACAATAAAGGGCAGACACAACTCTTTACCCTTGTCTGCTGACTGTTGGCAAGAACCTGATCACAGACCATTATTAGATCCTGGTGGGTGGATCAGAATATTACCACAGTGATATATCTTTATGTGTTGCCATTGGCAGTGAATTTCAAAGCATTCTGGGCAAAGGGAATGGCACACTCCTTATGTTCCCATGCCCAGGGAGCTGGACTCTGTGTGGCTGGCGTCTCTATTTTGGCTATGTGAGTGTCCCGCATTCTTATTGAATGTGTGTCGTTGTGATTCCTCTCACTTGCGAACAATGCCCCTCTTCTAGTCACGAGTGTGCTCCAATGCCCTCTTGTCCCCACCCTTCCTGTGGTTGTGATGATTCCCATAATGGGCACAGGACAGAATCTCAAAGAATGACCCTGTGGCCTCTGGATCCTTCCATTCAAAGCTCACCCCTCTGAAGACAGCCTCTGAAGGGGGCTCACAGTTTGCCTCCCTTCACTTTTGTAGAGAGTGAACTGAGCAGTCAGCTTACATATCAGCCTGGTAAATCCCTTTGAGCAAGTCTCCCTTGATGAAGGACTGCATGAGGAAGATAAATCCCTCAGTTATTTGAGTCACACAAGTGTGTGTGTGTGTGTGTGTGTGTGTGTGTGTGTGTGTGTGTGTGTTCTGGGTGTAAACATCACCACTCCCCTGCTGCCCCACCATTTTTTGTTGTGTCTTGGAATCAAACCTAGGGTCTCTGGCAAGCTTTTTACTATTGAGCTGCATCTACTGCCCAGAAAACACACAACACCCAGGCCACTGCCTTAGCGCCATCTTCGAGCAAGGAAACGTCTGAGTAAGGTGACAGTCCCGCCAGGTGTGGAAGCAACACCTGTAATCCTAGCAACAGAGAAGCTGAGGCAGTAGGATCAGGCAAAGGTTGAGGCTAGCCTGAGTTAAATAAAATAAACAAAAGGCCTATATTACAATTTACATATAAAATTGGGAGATTATAACTGAATTAGGAATTCCATCCGTGTTTTCACTTCTAGAACAATAGTGAATGCACCCTCACTGTCCCTTCAACTAGTGAGCCACTAACAGCTACCAGGAGGCACATAATGTCTATCTTCTTCCATTTCCATTTTGAAGAGAGAAGAGCTTTAAATATGCTAACCAGCTACTAGATGTTGGCTTTTCAGTATATTGTTTACTTTATTTACAATTTTGATTTTTGAAATAATTTTAGACCAAATACAATTCATAAAAATACCACATCTTTATTACCTGCCAGGTTTTCCTGGGTATCGTCTTTGTAACAAGTCCTTACTTCCCGTTCTCTCAGTGTGCAAATGAACTAACAGTATAGACTGGTGTGTGTGTGTGTGTGTGTGTGTGTGTGTGTGTGTGTGTGTGCATGTGTGTTAAGCCCAGGCTATCCCAGAACATCCAGGCTTAAAACATCCCACCCCCCTTCAGTTTTTCTAGTGGTGGCAAATGACTCCAGGGACCTCCCGCATACTAAGTGCCCTACCAATTGAACCACACAAGCCAAATCCCCTTTATTTCTTAAATGGACTTCCCACCTGCCTTCATCTTTCTTTTCTGCTCAAACTACTTTGTTTTGGTGTGTGTTTTGTTCTGAGACAGGGCCTCATTAGTACAGTGTAGCTTTGAAGCTGCTGTGTAGCGAAGCATGGATGTTGATTCCTGATCCTTCTGTCTCCAAGTCCTGAGTGCTGTGAGTAGAGGTGTGTACTACTACACCCGGCTTGAACTACCGCTCTCCCCCAGAACGTATTGTATTTATTGTTATATTATTACATTTGTAAGGATTTCAAATTGAAATAATAAGCATACGTTTTAACAAAAGTTCATCTGTAATACTTTATTCAAGTATAAACAATTGCAGTGGCTATAATTCAAGCATTCTTTGATCATACTGATGCTGATATCAAGTAAGCATGTGTTTTAAAACTAGAATCTTTGTTTCCTTCTTTTTTGTTTTTGTTTTTGATGACAGGATTACTGCATAACACTCTTGGCTCTCCTGGAACTCGATTTGTAGACCAGGATGGCCTTGAACTCACTGAGATCCACCTGCCTCTGCCTCCTGAGTGCTTGGATTAAAGGCACAGGCCACCAACACCTGTTTTGTGAGTGCGCATGCACAGGGACCATGGTGTGGATGTGCAGCTTAGGGAACAAAGACAACAGTCAGTTCTCTGTCAACTACATGGGTGCCAAGGGTTGAATTCACATAACCAAGTTTGCCAGAAGGCACCTGGCCCCACTCCTCTGCTCTGAGAGAAGACGATAACTGAGGTGTACAAACACACACACACACACAGAGAGAGAGGGGGGGGGAGGGAGGGAGGGAGGGAGGGAGGGAGAAAGAGAGGGAGGAGGGAGAGAGGGGGGAGGGAGGGAGGGAGGGAGGGAGGGAGAGAGGGAGGGAGAATTAACATGTCACAGTCTAAGAGGGAGATGCAAACCACAATGTCTCTGGGGAATGTCATTCAGCCGTGATATCATCTTGCCTGAAGAAATAGTTAAAGAAGTTGGCTATACTCATGATAGAATATGGTAAGCATTAACAATGTGCATCTTAGAAGGTGACATAGTGAGGAAGTGTTCCTAAGGTAACCGCTACATAAGCAAATCGTGAATGTATAATGCTCACATACCTATAATCACACAAATGGAAAAAAGACCTAAGAAAGCAACCTACCATGTGGCTGTCTACTAGGGGAAGGCTCTCCTGGTTTTTAATTTATTCATCTGTATTCTCTCCACTTCTGTCAATAAAACGGTAGGTTATACTTCATAGAGGAACTAGCCATGCCAAGGCCATGCCAGCCACCAAACCCTTGCCTATGAGAACCTCTGGAGGTCCCAAGAGCAAGGGGACTTGAGACCCCTGTGGATGTCACCTGCTTGCCCGAGTTGTTGAGAGAGAGGTGAAGGAGGGAAGCTTGTCAATTTTTCAGGTCTGTGTAACTTAAACCATCCCTGGAGCCCAGAGGGGTTGCTATGGAGAACCTGGGTCCTTGTCAACAGATGGCGCAGTGCAGTCTAAGGTGAAATAACAAGACACTTAGGCAGGTGTGGGGAGTGACTGCAGGGTCACAGCTGGGCGCCCCTGAGCGCTCCACTTGCCTCTGCCCTGCCCCAGAGCCGTCATGCCTCCTCTCGCTCCATCAGAGCACTCCTTGGAGAGTTGTTCCTGCAAAGCCTTCCCAGATCTGGCTTACCTGCAGGGACATAGTGATGAGGTAAAGTAGGCTGTGGCTCTCCAGCTCTGGGTCCCAGTCCCCAGGGTTTGGCCACTTGCTTAGAGAGAAGAGCTCCTCCTCCAGCCTCTCCTATAGGTTGTGCTCTCGGCATGGGAGACTCTAACTGGTCACAGAAGCTGAGGGGCGGAGCCGGACGACGGCTTGTACCAGCCCAGTCTCTCAGAGGAGGGGCCTAGGCTGCCTCTACTAGGAAAAAGTTGCTAGATTATTATCTCTCTGCTCCTGGCTCACACTTCAATTTTTTTCTTTTTCCTCAAGAGGTTGTTTGCAGGAAGCTAAGAGAGGTCTCCCCAGGCTTTGGAACTCACCTGGGAGTCCTGAGATCTTTCCTCTGTGAGTCTAGAAATCTGGACGGTGAGTGAGTGGCCTTTTCATCAAGAAAGTACAAGCTAGATTGAGTGGCAGGGGTCAGAGCAGGGCAGGGGTATGGCAGTTGGTGCGCAGTTTGCCACTTTCAGAGCTGATTGGCACTGCCGGCTGGCAAGTCCTCCGTGGTCTGTTGAACAATGAGCATGAGGCTTTGGTAAACAGAAACCATAACATCTGCACTGTGTAAGCTAAATACTCGGTGGTCTTTCTGTAGTGTGGGTTGCACCCAGGATACGGTGACTACACTTGAGCACAGGGCTCTGAGGATCCCAACAGAGGGATTTTCAAATCTTTCTGGATAGGACAAGGTAAGATAGCAGCAGCAGTGGTTTGCCCCGTGTGCGGTCCTGTAAACTGTCTTAGTGTGCTTGTTCCTCCCACCCTTCGCCATTATGCTTTTGACACACCATCCCTGAAATAAATGCTTAGGGTGCAGAGCAGAGTCTTACATTAACGATGCTGTTCATTTTCTTCTTGATCCTGATGAAGAAACTGTCTTCTGCTGGGTCTTGAGGTGGTTAATTCCCAGTTTCCAGATACACTGCCATACTGATTTCCAGAGGGGTTGCACAAGTTTGAACTCTGGCCTGCAGTGGAGGAGTGCTCCCCTTACTCCACATACGCTCCCCAACATAAGCTGTGGCCACTGTTTTGATCCTAGACATTCTGAGAGGTGTGAATTGCCATCTATTGTCATTGCCATTTGCTCTATCATGATGCCTAAGGAATTTGAAATTATTCCTTAACTGTCTTTCAGCCATTTGAGATTCTTCTGTTAAGAACACTCTATTTAGATGTGTACCTTATTTTTAATTGGATTATTTGGTATATCGATGTCTAGTTTTTTTGAGTT